GTGCAGTGTTGATAGCTTCAGGTACTCATCTTTTCATATTGCACTTATATTTGAACAAAAGGCGTACCCGGAATTTTTGGATCTCAATACATTTCTCTCGGTCACGTCTTAGTTGATGTTGTAAGGAATTGAAAAGTTTTTTTATATCAGAGAGCGACTGTAGTTGCCCTCTCTCAAACCAAAATAAATTCTAATTGTCCTAACGAAAAATTATTCATTATAACGAAAAAAGGAAATCACAACGACAATCAGCAGAGTTAGGTAAGTACGATAAACGGAACACTAGTTAGTATATAATAAACATGGTCAAAATGACCAAGATAGCTTCCAGAGACAAACAACATGTTTACATATTTTCTACTACCCAAGTAATGGCTGCTTAACTAGTTTCCTCAATTAAATAATGTTAACTATCTCAATAATAGAGAGATTGCTAATTAGGAGACCTACTAAATTATTGTTGTTAGGTATATTGTAATTAATGGGTACAAATTACGTGCTTCTTTACTTACTAATCCATATCAAATTCTATACTTAAAAGGCACTTACGAAAAAAAAAAAAAAGGTTTTATTCTATCTATTTATTCATTTTTTTCCGATCCATCTATTGGCCAGAGTTTGCAACTTATGCACATGTTCATAGCATCAAATGATAGTAGAGTAGACAAGGTGTAAGGAAAATAAAGTTTCAAAGCGGACGCTCGCGGTAACTTAGCAGCGAATTTAATTAATTGACCCGCTTCCATACAAAATAAATCACAAAACACCATTTTTTGACCAAACTATAAAGTTTTTGTAATTTTTCCTAAAACAATTATTAATTGAGATTAACGAGCCTATCATCCTACATAAAGAAAAAATTAAAAAACAAATTATGCCTAAGTCCACTAAAATCATAGTACGACCCACTCTGCGCGCGCGAGCCACGGATCGAGGCGGTCAGTCGCGGCGAATAGTGCAGTGGATTAAATGAGTTTAGTTGTTTTCGCCGCGAAAAATTAACGCCGGAAATTTATATTTTTTATTATTTTTTATTTTATATTTTAAAGTCGTCGTGGCCTAACGGCACGCCGGTGCAATCGGTTGAGCGATGCACCGGATGTTCGAATACAGGCGGGACCAATTTTTGTAATGAAATATGTACTCAACAAATGTTCACGATTGTTTCTATTTCCCGGTGAAGGAATAACATCGTGTAATAAAAATGAAATGCCTCAAAATATATAATTTGCGTAATTACTGGTGGTAGGACCTCTTGTGAGTCCACACGGGTGGGTACTACCACCCTGCCTATTTCTGCCGTGAAGTAGTAATGCGTTTCGGTTTGAAGGGTGAGGCAGCCATTATAACTATACTTGAGACCTTAGAACTTATATCTCAAGGTGGGTGGCGCATTTACGTTGTGGATGTCTATGGGCTCCAGTAACCACTTAACACAAGGTGGGCTGTGAGCTCGTCCACCCATCTAAGCAATAAAAAAAAATTAGCTGAAATACTAGCTAGACCAGCTATTTGGAAGTCTAGCCACCCAAAGTATTTCTCGTACTTCTTGTGGAATTCTCCATCTTTAGGTATACTCCGATTCTTATTCAAATCATGTACTTCACAATATTTTCCAAATAATAGGTCCTGAACCAAAAAGCTATTAATTTGTAAGCAATATCGAGATAATTTCGATATAGACATTTCGCTGTCGGACTTCCTTACTAGTCGCGGCGGCGAACGTGAGTACCCGTGGCCTGCAAACGGTTGGGCGCGAATGGTCGCCTGGTCCACCGCTTCGCTGTTCGCACCGCCGATCCCCGTGGCCAGGCCGTAACTTCTAGTGTAGGAGTATTCTCGTATAACCTGCCCTTATGACCCCATTATAACGCGTTGTACATAAATGATTCACGTTTAAAAACTTGAAAGTGAAAAATTGTATCCCATTAAAGGGGATTTAAATTTAATATCAATCTTATAACAAAAACAATTGTGACGATGTACCTGAAATTAATTATGAAGTGTACAAATCATTAAAAATAACAGTACATAACTAGTATAATATATCTAGTACGTATCTATAGCTATGTTTGTAAACCATTACAAACATTTAAAATCAATTAGAGTTTTACTGTTGCATTTGTGTTTTATTTGCAATATTATATAGGTATATGAATCATAAAATCGAAAATGAAGTCGATATAATAAATTATATTCTATTACATACTTTCATAATATTGTCAGATATTGTATTTTATCGCAAACCCTAAGAAATAGATATAAAATTTCGAATCGGGCAGACGTGGCGCCGTGGCTTAGTTGGTTAAAGCGCCTGTCTAGTAAACAGGAGATCGCGAGTTCGAATCTCGCCGGGGCCTGTCGTAGAGGACAAGTTTTTTGTATTTCTTTATATTACTCAAAAATGAGAGATCTTTGAACAAAATTGTAATCAAACCTGAATCATATTATTTATTTTTGTTGTTATTATATCATTTTAATTTAACGTAAAACAGCTATGCCTTAATTTACAAAAAATACTTTTTTTTATTGTTAAGCATTTTTTATTCATTTTCACAATATTAATTTCAAGAATTGTCTCGAAGCAATGTTCCCTTAGTCAACAGTGCGTGTACTAAATAATTACTACCTTTATCATTAGATAGTATAAAACAAAGTCGCTTTCTCTGTCTCTATATCCCTATGTATGCTTAAATCTTTAAAACTACGCAACGGATTTTGATGCGGTTTTTTTTAATAGATAGAGTGATTGAAGAAGAAGGTTTATATGTATAATAACATCCATTAAATAGTGGAGAAATCAATAATAAACTACAGTTTCCGAAGCGAAGTGAGGGTGGGTCGCTAGTTATAGATATAAAACTTGATCATTTTTAAGTGCTAAACAGCTATGCTTTAGGATAGTAATATTTCCTGGAAACTTACTCGTCGGTGTGTTGACCTCCGAATGCGGTGTCAAGTTGTTCGACTGCGCCATCAGCTTTTGTCGAACTTCGCGTATCTTCAATTGCAGGGATGTTTTTGTTGGGAATATGTCCATGTGAGTTGCCTGTGTGATAATCGAAACTGATAAGTACAAATTGAACTTATGGATTGGAATTACTATTTTAGTACTGTTGGTAGGACCTCTTGTGAGTCCGCACGGGTAGGTACCAACACCCTGCCTATTTCTGCCGTGAAGCAATGCGTTTCGGTTTAAAGGGTGGGGCAGCCGTTGTAACTATACGGAGACCGTAGAACTCACATCTCAAGGTGGGTGACAGCGTTTACGTTGTAGCTATCTATGGGCGAACTGTTTTGCAACAAAAAATATTTCATTGTAAACATTGTTTATATTTGTAATTTGTCTTGACTTGTATATAATAAGTGTCTGTAATATAACTTGCTGTATATTTGAAATTATATAAAACAGACAAGGCTGCATGGGCTTAGATCCCCTTGCCTTTCCTAATGAGGAAAAACTTAACACCAGGGGGCCGTGAGCTCGTCCACCCAACTAAGGAATAAAAAATGTGCCTCACCTGGAAATTGGTCGTTGCCTGTGTCGTCGGGAACATGCCGTGGTCCTTGAACAGCTTGAGCACGAGGTGGCGGCGCTGCTCCAACACCTTGCGGTGGCCGGCCTCGCCGCGCGGGCCCGACACCGGCGTGCGCGGCGACATCTCCTCCGCGCTCTCCGACACTGTACATACGCAACCGTCACTCTACGGGCAACCCCTAGCCGTGGCTAGACCGTAGTCGTGGAGCCAAAACCTAATTGGATCGTGAGATTACATAGACCTAAGCAAGACTATGCTCATATGTGATCATTCCAAAAATATATTATTGGTGATTTATTTTTATAAACTTGTAGTAGGTATATTGCTCTCTTACATTGAAATATTTTCACACATATTTTAATCCAATTTTTAAAGCCGCACTGTTAACGATCAGAATGATTGAGTTTGAGTCAAACTGGAGACTATCGACTGATTAATATGGAAAAATAACTTGTATATGTCCCTAATTATGGTACTAATTATTTCTGAATTATATATGTATCCCCTTTTACAATCAACATCAGGTCATTAAGGATACTTAATAAAAAATATAGTTTATAAAAGCTTCTATATCAGAAAGATACATGTAAAAAGTTTTAATTCTTTTAACATACCTCGAAACGTCTCTAGATTGAAGTCCGGTCCGAAAAACGTGTTCCCGACCAGCTTGTTGGTGGAGGTGTGCGGGGTCGGGATGCCGTTCCCGTTCAGCACTTCCGATTCTATTTGAGGCGTCACGATCGTATTGCCTTCGTCGTCTGAAATTTAACTAAAATTTAGATACTGGTGGTAGGACCTCTTGTGAGTCCGCAGAGGTAGATACCACCACCCCGCCTATTTCTGCCGTGAAGCAGTAACGCGTTTCGGTTTGAAGGGCGGGGCAGCCTTGTAACTATACTGAGATCTTAGAACTTATATCTCAAGGTGGGTGGCGCATTTACGTTGTAGATGTCTATGGGCTCCAGTAACCACATAACACCAAGTGGGCTGTGAGTTCGTCCAACCATTTAAGCAATAAAAAAATAAAAAAACTTATGTGTTAAAGAAAAATGTTTAGAAGTTTTCAATACAGTATTTAATTTTTTAGGTTTATTGAAACCGTTTGAGAGCCCGTGAAATATTTGGCTATCGAGAATCGCAAGCGAGTACTGTATACCTCACTTACCTATACCAAGCTTCTTCTTCCTGAGATAGAGCTGCGGACTCCGCGGCACGACCATCGCGCTAGGGCTGCACGCCTCCGGCTTGAATTGCGGCAGGGTGCTGAATTTCTGCTCGAAATTCACCGTTTCCAGCACTCTGAACGAATCAAACAAACGCTTTTATCAACACAATATCTTAAACTACAATAATCAATGCAATTCTAGCGAAATGAATTGGACCATTCCAAAAAGTCGTTACAGTTATTTTACGTATTACGTGACATTTAGATCCTGGTCTAGACGGTGACTTTACATAGCTCCATACTTCGTAGCGAAATTTTGAACATTTTTGCCTTGGTATAGTTCCATTTCCTAAAGCATCTTGGTCCCCCGCGCGCAGCGCCATTGCAGGAGTTGACACTACACTACTATCAAATTAGCAATCGAATACTGCCTTTATTGACATACGTACAAAGACTAGTTTTACTTCTCGAACATAAATCGACATGTAGCGTTTGGTAGTCGTAGTTAGTAGAAACTCAGTGGGCTGGGTCTGAGGGTTAATTTACTCGTCGAGCCCTTCGTCGCAAGCGACGGGTTCGACGAGAACGGTGACCGGTGCTTGAAGTACCTAAAAGCACCGTTAGTGGATCGGGAGGATCCGAAATGACGTGTTTGGGGCGACGTCGACTGCTTTCCATTCTGTCCGCAGGATCGGGAATGTAGTTACCGGAGGCCACGATGAGAGGGTTCTCATATCGTGCCGCTTTATCGAAGTGGAACGCAGATCAATTGAACACGTAAGTGTGCGTACTTGTCACGTCCATCTTCGTTGCCTTTCTTGAAGAGGCTCTTCTTGTGCGAGGGACTGGGCAGGTTGTCGGCGGAGGGGGGCGGCTGCGGCGAGGGCGACGGCTCGTTCATGTTCTGATTCAGTTGATGCGACGCGTTGCTGCTGTCCGGGAGCGGAGCAGTCTGCTCGTTGGAGTTCGATGAGCTCGTCGAGGTGCCTGCGCAGATCATCATATTACATTGATTTTTTTTTAGGAATTTTATGACCTGGTAACTAAGACCTTTAAGTCATGTCTTATTTTAATTTATATTCTTATTTTTATGAGAAATTATAATATGGAAAGAAATGAAATAATACTGATTAATTTGAGACATTAATCAACTGAGACGAAATGAAATGATATGGAATGAAATATAATCTCAGTAAAATGGTGGTCATTTACTGAGACTTTTTCAGTTCAATTTTTAGGAGGATCCCCAGAAATTACGTTCAGCGGCTTTGTTTAATTTTCCCACATTTGTGCACTTTCACAGATACTAAACAATCAATAAACCACCGTTATTACACATTTAAACCTGAAGAATCACTAAATAGACAAAATAAAACAAATCACACAACTACACTCCTCGCGTTCCCGCCAAAAAGTCCAGCATTAATGATGCGCCGCGAGATTTACTTATTTAAATTGCTTTTATTTAATTAATCGAAATCTAATAAACTAACATTATCTTCTCCTATTTATTAAGAATATAGTTATCATTCTAATTATAGTTATCAAAATTCGTACACAATTGCTGCAAATCTCGATAGATCAATGTAATTTGAATAATCGTAAATGTTGGAATAGTGGTAAGTTACCTATCTACTAAATCAGTTTTTCAATAGCGTTTTATGCTAAGTAGATCGGGTGAACGTGATATGGTTAAATATATTTTTTGTATACTAACCCCGACTGAGTCTCTTTTGCAAAGGCGCCCGTCCAAGCTGCGCAGGCGTGGGCGCCAGCGGGAAAGGGCGGGTTTCCTCCACTTCCCCCCACTCACTAGAACAAAATAGATTATTGACAATGCATATATGCCATAAAAAATTTTATTGCTTAGATGGGTTGATAACCTTACAGCCCACCTGGTGTTAAGTGGTTACTGGAGCCAATAAACACCTACGACGTAAATGCGCCACCCACCTTGAGATATAAGTTCTAAGGCCTCAGTATAGTTACAACGGCTGCCCCACCCTTCGAACCGAAACGCATTACTGCTTCACGGCAGAAATAGGTAGGGTGGTGGTACCTACCCGTGCGAACTCATAAGAGGTCCTACCACCAGTAAGGTCCTACCACCAGTAAGTCCTACCACCAGTAACAGCATGCAGATATAGTTACATTAATGTCGAAGTGTGTTCCTATGACGTACGTAGGTACCACCATCCTGCCTATTTCTGCTGCGAAGCAGTAATGCCTTGTGGTTTAAAGGGTGCAGCTGTCCAACAAGGTTACTATAAAACTGAGACTACACACAGAGTACTAATCAATAAAAAAAATTGTTACCGCAGCCAATTAGCAATACAAATAAAATGCTGTCAATCAACTTAAATCTTTCAATATTACTCACGATATGGGTTTGGGTAAGGGATGACTGTTGCTCTGAGAGACGATCACGGTTGGACCATTTTGCATGTTCAATTGATGCTGCAGTTGCGTCTGTTGTTGGTGTTGTTGCTGCTGATGTTGTTGTTGTTGCTGATACTGTTGTTGTTGAATATGTTGCTGTTGTTGTTGATGTTGTTGCTGTTGCTGTTGCTGCTGGTGCTGGTGCTGTTGCTGATGCTGTTGTTGATGTTGCTGTTGCTGTTGATGCTGGTGTTGCTGTTGTTGCTGTTGATTTGTCTGAGTTGCGGGGCTGCTTGTATCTACTTTAGGAACACATATCCTTTTATAAGACTAATATTTTTTTTATTTCTTAAATATATAATATACAATTAAATAATGAAATACAAATGAAGTTTGATATTCAAATGTACTCAAAAAGAGAGGTAGCCATAAAACGTGACAAAATAATGCTTTATTACCATCAACCTACCTTTCTCATACGCGAGGTAGTTGACTGTTCCAGTTTGAAAGGTTGGCCACGGATATACAATGTATTAAAGATTTCATCCTCATGTACCAAGATGGATGGCAGTAGTCCAATTAATACGAGGTGAGCAGTAAGTGAGCTTGTCTGATCATTTCCAAACGTTTTTTTTGCTTAGATGGGTGGACGAGCTCACAGCCGACCTGGTGTTAAATGTTTACTGCAGCCCATAGACATCTACATCGTAAATGCGCCACCCACCTTGAGATATAAGTTCTAAGGTCTCAAGTATAGTTACAACGGCCGCCCCGCCCTTCAAACCGAAACACATTACTGCTTCAAGGCAGAAATAGGCATGGTGGCGGTACCTACCCGCGCGGCCTCGCAAGACGTCCTGCCACCAGTAATTACGCAAATTATAATGTTGCGGGTTTTGATTTTTATTACACGAAGTTATTCCTTCACCGTGGAAGTAAATCGTAAACATTTGTGAAGTACGTATTTCATTAGAAAAATTGGTACCCGCCTGCGGGATTCGAACACCGTTGCATCGCTACATAGGAATGCACCGGCCATCTTATCCTTTAGGCCACGACGACTGTTATCTTTCTACGAGTACCTACCTATACGGGTATTGACCAATGTCTAAGAGAAAAAAAAACATCGACGCTTGAAAGGCAAACGTGACTAAGCGACAATGCGTGAACTTTACAGTAGACTTATTTAATGTTGAAATACCTGACAAAAAATATATTTTAACGAATCTAGCTGTAGGATTGAAATGATTTTAATAGACCGAGGAAATATATTTTTTTTTGCGCATCGAATATGGTTATTGCCTATCATTTATGTATAAAGCAGTTATTGTCGCTTAGTCACGTTTTTCGCCTTTCAAGCGTCGCTATATATCCTCACAAGAGGTCCTACCACCAGTACAAACGTATTTAAGCATACCCGTGTTGAAGTGCGGTAGATACAGTCTCTGCAAGTGAACGTAGTGCAGAGGCTGTTGATGCATCTCGGTGTGCGCGCCGTCGCTGGCCTCGCTCGGCTTCAGCAGCAAGTTGCCCGATGCGTCCACCGACAACGTTAGCGGACCTATAAAATTATTATCATTAATTTCGATTGAGCATTCCGTTGACATTTTATGGATATTTTTTAAGTGGTACGGGGAAATGTTTTTAACTAAAGCATATATTTTTAATAAATCGTCAACTGGCACGTGGGTTGAACCAATTTGTGGTAAACAATACTTTTAGGTTCACGCTTACACGTAACTAATTATTACTACCCCGTAAGTGAATCTCAAAGTCTATCAAAAACTTTAACTAAAACTTTAACTTTCTCTTAATTCTGGTTACTGATTTTACTTCATATATTTAACATTTTTGGCAATTAAAATCTAAAGGACTACAATTAAATCGAGTCTAATGTCTATTTTTGGAAATTTAGTGTGATATCCTATACTTCTTGAACAATCAATGTAATTTGCACGTATGAAATCGAAATATCGCTCATTACTTTCGATATTTACATGATTGTAAATATCGAAAATAATGAGTGATCTAAAACACAAGGAAACTCACACAGAGGATTATCAGCGATCGTCTTCTTTACAAATGTGACACTCCTCAATAGAGCGTTACTCAGAGCTGATGTTGTCGAAGTTTGTTGAGTCGATTGATTCGGCATCGATATGCCGCTCGATATAACTTGCACACCACTAGTGGCGGTTGGGGAGTTCATTATCGACGCTATGGCGTTATCGAGAGCGGCTTGCGTCGATAGATTGGGCGTGTTTAGTGTTATCCCTTGAACGCTGGTGGCGAGGCTCTGCGTGCTGTTAGCGGTTGGCTGGCTCTGTGGCGGCTGCGGTACGTGAGGAGAGCTAGGTACTTGGTTGGGCATAGCCGTCTTGTTCACTGTGCTGAACGCTGTCCACTGGCGGTGACCGTCGCCTGTCCAAATAAAAAACAAGTTTTAGAAATAAGCACCTAAAGTTCGAGTCCACTGATGGCATTTTTTTTTATGATTGAAGGATTACTGGTGGCCCGGAGGCCTTTCCAGTTTCACCAGGACAGGTCGGCGAGCAAAGGCTCAGCCAGGAGGGGTGGGATTTGCTAACAGCTGCCCGAGCGCCTCCAAAGGAGACCTAACAACTCAAGAGGAGCTGCTTCACAAATGAATGTACTACCGGATCGGAATCGCAACCCGCTGAGAAGATCCGGCGAGAAACTCAGCGAGCTGATACAAAAGTTAGGTTGCACGTCGAACTCTTTGTCGAGTTCGACGAGTACGGTTGCCGGGGTCCCTTAGCCTACTCCTAGTGTTAGAGCTCAAGGCGTCTAATGCAAAAGTTATTAAATCAGATGGACCCGTAAGGACGTGTCTAGGGCAACGACGGTGACTGGCTCCTGCGTGATCAGGATTCGGGTGTAGTCAGCGGCGGCAACGATAAGGCGATTATCATGACGGGCGATTATCATGACGCAACTAATGGCATACGCGATAAAGAAAAACAAAAAGCCAGCAAATGAATGAAGAATATGCCGTTGTTTTAGCGTGCCGATTTGCAGTTTGGATATTGGTTTGTCAAATGTAATGTGAGCATTGACCCCACATTGTAGTGCATATGGTTTCCATTGGCAATAAATACTACAATTCAATACAAAATAATCAAAGAACAATAGTTATACATATAACGATACGAACGTATAACGAATACAACGTACTGATATCGATCTTACCCGGATCCGCATGTGTAGACTTGAAGGCTCCACCGGTGGGTTGGAACACTTTAGATCCGCCGGGACTGGAAGCCGTGATGCCGCCCAATAAATTGTCGGAGGACCCAGCTCTACAACAATAAGTACATCTCAGAAAAGCACACGCATCTGTTACTGCATCCAACATTTTTAGTACAATATTCCTATTTCACTTATTTTCACCGGTTGGGCGTATTGTAAGCCCTCACTCGAACAAGTAGGCCTTGAGATTCTTCCGCTTTTTCTTTTTCTTCCTAACGTTTTCCCAGTCAAATGCCAAGGTTCGCTTTCATACTTAAACTCCTGCACTTTACCCGGTTTTCGGTATCCTTCTGGGTGTGGTTATTGTCCTCAATATCCACCTTTACCACTACTACCATTACTATCAATACTACCTTTAGCATTTACCTTTGGAGATTGTTCACCCATAAATAGAAAAACAACTTAATTGCTTTAAAGCATAGTGATCCTGATCAGGATATCAATCCAAAGTTAAAAATCTTTTATTGATATTGATCCTTGATTAGTGTGAAAATTTTCAAGTTAATTAGACATATTGATCTATAGCGATTGCTTTAAGCTTTACGAGACGCTAGCAGTACTTACCTAGCTTTAATGGGTTTAGGTCTTCTCGTGTGATCGTGATGCGAAGGTAGGTAATCCCTCGTATCGATACCCTCGGAATCAGAATCCGTGACCTTCTCACCGCATTTGAGATCTATCTCAAGGTTTTGAGACGAGGCGGGAGTTTCGGTACACATTTGAGTAATCTGTTCAATAAAATTTTTTTAAGTAGATTATGTACTTGTGGTATTTATTTATCTATTTCGATTCTAATTAACACTTCATATTACAATTATGACTAAAATGACAATTTCGAGAGATGATGCCTTGATGCATTGCGTGATCATCGCCTTATGCTTTTATACACACTAGTGTAGTGAAAAAAATTAATTTCGATCATTGAAAACATAAGATGACGAAAATGTACAATTAGTCGGAACGATTAGACTATAACTTCGGCATAAACGAAAAACAAAATTAATTTTCTGAGCTACGCATACATTCACCGTTTTAGTTACATTATACATCGTGGCCGTGCAATTTAGCGCGAAGGTCATGTATGCAGCAAAAACCATAGGTAAAAAACAGTATTTCGATGAGGATTTGTTTGGTATTCTGCTAGAAATCACTAACATTGAACCCTGTCTTCGTTTTTGGAAAAATAATTTGTAAAAATAAATAATCTAATCTCTACATATTATTATTATAATCTTAAAATATACGACCCCTAATTACTATAGTACTTCCTCCATAGTAGTAGTAATTTCTCACCCAAATTTTTTAAGCTTAAACGTCTCAAAACTCGTTTCTGTATTACCAATAAAAAAAAGGATTGAAGTTAGACGTAGATGGCAAACCAAATCAACCTTCGATATGGAAAATGTTGTGAAGTTCTCGTTAATTATTTTTTAAGGGATTTTATGACCTGGTAACTAAGACCTTTAGGTCAAGTCTTATTTTAATTTATATTCTTGTTTTTATGAAAAATTATAATATGAAGTGAAATGAAATGGTATGAAATATAATCCCAGACTTTTTCAGTGAACTTTTTGGAGGATCCCGAGAAGTTACATTCAGCGGCTTTGATTTGATTTTGCCACATTTGTGCAGTTTCGCAGATACTAAACAGTTAATAAACCATCGTTATTACACATTTAAACCCGAAAAAACACTAAATAGACAAAATAAAACAAATCACACATCTTCACTCCTCGCGTTCCCGCCAAAAAGTCGCAATGACATAGATTATACCAACAAATAGATTATACAAACTCAACAGGTTTTTTTTTTTATTGCCTTTGTAGGCAGACGAGCATACGGCCCACCTGATGGTGAGTGGTTACCGTCGCCTATGGACTTCAGCAATACCAAGGGCAGAGCCAAGCCGCTGCCTACCGCTAAATAAGTATAAAGAAGTAGTGTGAAAATAGCTTACCATGGGTTCGTCGTCGCTCAGCTGCGGCGAGCCGACGTGGTTGTAGGCGGAGATATTAACTGGAACGTCCACTGAGCTCGGGAGAGCGCTGCTCGGTACTTCTGAAGGAGTACGAGGACTCTGCGAATACAAAGTTTTCAAATATTTTAGATATTAATTTTATTATTAAATTACTAGCTGACCCGGCAAACTTCGTATTGCCTCAATCGATAAATAGAAGACCTAAACTTTTGTATAAAATAAACTTAAAACAAACAAAAGGAATCCGTCCGACGGGGGACACATCAAAAGGAAAACAAAAATTCCGAGCATTTTCATATTTCTATAATTCTAGACCAAAATTAACCAAATCGGTCCAGCCGTTCTTGAGTTTTAGCGAGACTAACAAACAGTAATTCATTTTTATATATACAGTCAAAATCTGTTATAACGACATCGGACGGCTCATATTCAGTCGTAAAAACCGATAGTCGTAACAACCGGTAATGTGTAATGTGTATCGTGCAAGTACAAACAAATCGATAGCGAATTATTGGAAAAATATATTTACATAATACGCGATTTTTCTTCAATATTAATTTGTTTTCTTTTTCTTTGCGACATTTTGAAAGTTTCACGAATAACTCCACAAAGTTTTGGTGCGTCTTGTATATAGATAAGTAACAAACTAACTGAAGAGATATGAAGAAGCGGGCTTTGACTACCGCATGGACGTGTTTTGTTTCTAAGAATTAGAAAAGACCCTACACTAAACTAAATCCTATTGTTTTTTTCCTGATTTTAAAAGCCATTGAAGACAAATGTGGACACCTATTCAAATTGTTTACAATATAGCTTAGCCGGTCGTTCTAACAGATCTAATTCTCCGAAATATTAGTTAAATTTGGTCGTTTTATGAGGTATGTCGTTATTACCAATGTCGTAGAAAGCAATATTTTTAATAAGGCGGTCATATGGCATTCAGCCGGGACCTTTGTTCTAGGTTATTATAACCGGCATGTTGTTCTAAACGATGTCGCAGTAAACGGTTTTGACTGTATATAGATTATTATTACTTTTCTTCTTCTTATTACTACTTTCATTGCTTAAATACCTGGACGAGCTCACGGCCCATCTAGTGTTAAGTGGTTACCGGAGCCCATAGACACATGAGTTCTAAGGTCTCACTTTTACTCGGCTGCCCCACCCGTCGAACCGAAACGCATTACTGCTTCACGGCTGAAATAGACAGGATAGTGGTAGACCTACCCGCGCAGACTCTCAAGACAACCACCAGTAAAACGCGTTTGTATATTATTTCTCTGACCACATGGAAACCAACGTAGTGTATAACGACTTCATTTATTACACTTAATTTTTTAAACTGTTTAAAAAATAGATTTATGTTCACGATTGATTTCCACGGTGAAGGAATAACATCGTGTAATAAAAATGAAACCCGCAAAATTATAATTTGCCTAATTACTGGTGGTAGGACCTCTTGTGAGTCCGCACGTGTAGGCACCACCACCCTGCCTATTTCTGCCGTGAAGCAGTAATGCGTTTCGGTTTGAAGGGTGGGGCATCCGTTGTAACTATACCTGAGACCTTAGAACTTGTATCTCAAGGTGGGTGGCGCATTTACGTTGTGGATGTCTATGGGCTCCAGTAACCACTTAACACCAAGTGAGCTGTGAGCTCGTCCACCCATATAGATTGTATAGACAATAAAAAAAAAATTAAAAAAAAATATTATTTAGAAGCGATTATCAAAATACCTGCGGTATAGACCCAGTGGGATCTTTGCTACTCGAAGATTTCCTACGATCTTTGTTACACCATTTCCATTCCGGATGTGCTTTGAAGTGAGCTTCTTTCACCTAGAACATAAAATTACATTTTGTCAACTAGGTAAAACAACATAAATCACGTATTAATGTTAATGTTCGATTACAGAAACACGAAATCTCTGGTTAGTTATGAATGTTAGACAATAGAAATGTTGACATTATTTGACCCGAACTAAATTTCATCCCGATATTACTTCGAACGTATTGAACCTACATTCGACAATATTGTAATTTATTTAGTTATTTATTACACTTCATGTAAAATTTACATTGGCGGACTTAATTCCTGAGGCATTCTCTACCAGTCAACCAAAGGTAGTGCAGAGTAAATAGTGGTTACAATATACACAAAAAAATAAGTATATGTATACACAATCACATATACATACATACATAATAGTAATTTGTCATTTTAATTGTAAAAAAATCCCAATTTTTTTCCACTTTCTATCGACAAGCGCCCAACCAACCTCGGTGGCCAATTCATTGTACTTCTGTTTCTCTTCGGGCTTGAGGGAGTACCACCACTCGCCGAGTATCTTGCTGACGGTGCGGTTGTCCTGGTTCGGATGCATCTGGTGGACGACTTGCCGATGTCGCTTCGAGAATATCATGAACGCGTTCATCGGACGTCTTATGCGGCGCTCTTTCTGTTGAGTAAAAAAAAACACAAGTCATGTTTAAAATATAGAAATTTTACCTTCCAATAAAATTTGTATTATGTTTCCTAAGACGTCCGAAGTCCATTATGAGAGTACATCGTATGATTTCCACTGCAGGTCGCTAAACTTGACTACTTCCGTTTCCTAAGTCCCGCCTACAGCGCCCTCTATAACGTCTGGAACCGAACCAACAAGCAAAGACAAGCCGCCATATTTGTCATTGTTCGGCTCATAATGATGGATGTAGCCCCAGGAAGACATTATCTGGACTTCGGACGTCTTAGGAAACATAATACAAATTTTATTGGAAGGTAAAATTTCTATATTATGTGTTCCGTTTGACGTCCGAAGTCCATTATGAGAGACTGTTTGTTATCTCCTGGTGGCTTGTATTTGAAATAAAATAATATTTATTTAAAAAGCAACAATGTGACTTATTGTGTTTAATTAAGCAAAGCTTAAATTAAGCACATAATTTAAATTAATTGAAGGTAACCGTATAATATTACCCACTTAATTCAAATCGACCTAATAAGATTTAGGACGAAAATACTGAGAAAGATTTCTCAGAATTTATATCAGTGTTTGATGCATTAATAATAAGTTTTTGATAGAACTTTCTAAAAGTATGCTCATGTTGTCAGTTAGCTTTAGCTAAAATATCATTAATTTGGTAATTTCCTACCCAGTTTAAAGTTTTCACCACCGCTCTACAGCTTCCAACTGAGGCCTGAATACCTGAGTCTCCTAAAAGACTTTTAGCCAACTACTAATCCTCGCTGCAGTAGCTGGCTTAGTGGAGCCTTTAGTTGCTAAGAATAGATTACTAATATTCCCACTGGTTTGCTGTGTCATATTCACTAGATTGCGTAGCCAGTATACTGCATCGATGATCGATTGGTCAGGAGCAGCCACGAATGTCCAACTGGACTGTTGGTGTGAAGATCAATTAGTTTTCGACCCAAATATCGGTTAATTTAGAAGGTGCAGGCTTTGTCAAGGAAATAGATTTCAGTATCTTTCACTGTCGGGCTCGAAGCTATTTTTATATCCGATATAGTTTCACAAACGGACGCTATATAACAGACTTATAAACTAGAATGGTCCGGTAGGAGAGACCATGAGATAAATACAGATAACAGAGAAATCTAGCTACATTTGCTAATTCGGATACACGAGAATTAATACATTTTCTTGACAAAACCTTACCCCTTATTCCAAATAGGGGCGTATGTTCTTATCGTAGACTCTCTCCAGCACGATAATAGTAAGTTTCTCTCCTGCCGATGTCAATGTCCCTGTCAGCGTGTCCCACCCAAAATGAGCCAAGCTTCCAGGTGTAGATTGCTGACTTAGCCTGGCGGTAGCATTGTCAGTGTCCACCAGACTGATGTTCAGATTTCTGAGCTTCTTGAGTCGCTTGAGGGCAGGTGATTTCAGGTCTGGCCTCCACGGGGGCTTCTTGCACTTGGGTACCACTAGTATGTACCCGACCTGAGGTTGAGTTGAGGTGGTCCAGCACTCTGGATATCAGACTGAGCGGCGGAAACGGCCATGCTAGTCAGTAATGCTGAACGCGTTGTAGAGGCAGGCCTTCGAGTTTTGTTTTGATGGGTGGACGAGCTCACAGCTCACCTGGTATTAAGTGGTCACTGGAGCCATAGACGTCTAGAACGTAAATGCGCCACCCACCTTGAAATATAAGATCTAAGGTCTCAAGTATAGTTACAACGGCTGCCCCACCCTTCAAACAGAGACGCACTACTGCTTCAGAGCAAAATACTTACTCGCGCGGACTCACAAGAGGTCCTACCACGAGTTTCAGTAAGTCTTGAGTAACATAGTTTGTTACCCATGAGCGGTCAGAGACGCGAACAAGTTCCCCACAGGCTGAATAGCCTAGTGGTTGCTTTTTCTGTGAGATACCACTCCAAGCCGCCGCGATTGTGTAAGAGGTGGTCGGCTTCAGTGTTGTACAGTCCCGGTAGGTGGTGAGGGAGAAGTACAACTTTGAGGTGGTCTATTAAGTTAAGCAATTTTCCAGTCAGATCTAGCAATTATCGTGACCGGGTTCCTCCCTCGTTCTTTATGTAGGAAAATTCTGTTCTGTTGTTTACAAGGGCTCCCCACTGAATGTCCGACGCGTCGGTGATGACGTNGTGAGGGAGAAGTACAACTTTGAGGTGGTCTATTAAGTTAAGCAATTTTCCAGTCAGATCTAGCAATTATCGTGACCGGGTTCCTCCCTCGTTCTTTATGTAGGAAAATTCTGTTCTGTTGTTTACAAGGGCTCCCCACTGAATGTCCGACGCGTCGGTGATGACGTGGTTCGTGGCCATTCTCTGTGGATGAATTGGTGTGCTCTGACCGACTTTCTCTAACCACCAATCCAGCTCTGTACGTACCTCGTCCGAATACTGCTTTGGTAAATGAGCCTAATACCTCCTGAGCTTGTTGCTGTGGTACTGCAAGGATTCGGCAAAGCAACTTTCCCCGGTGGGTGATGAAAGTCGCAAAGTTGAGATATCCTAAGAGGCTTTGCGCCTGCTTTAGGTTCCAACCGCCGGCAGTAAATCACACGAGCAAATTCTTGGGCAGGGACTTTGTCTTGGATTTGGTGTCCCATACGATTCCCAGAAAGTCTATCAAGCTCGTCAGTGTCATAACCGGTTGCTTAGATAGGTGGACGAGTTCACAGCTTACCTGGTGTTAAGTGGTAACTGGACATCTACAGCGTAAATGCCGCCACCCACCTTGAGATATGAGATCTAAGGTATCAGTATAGTTACTTGAGATTTCAACAAGTCTTTTGCCCTTGTAGGCAGACGAGCATACGGCCCACCTGAAGGTGAATAGTTACAGTCGCCCATGGACTTCAGCAACGCCAGGGGCAGAGCCGAACCGCTGCCTACTGCTTAATTCTCTCCACAAGCCTCGTTTGAAGAAGGACATGTCATAGCGCTCGGGAAACACCGTGGAGGGAGCTCATTCCATAGCCAGATGGTACGTGGCAAAAAATACCTCTGGAAACGCACTGTCAATGAACGCAGCGGTTCCAGATAATATGGATGAGCTTTGCTCCGATGGCGGGAGGTGTTCTGCCCTGGTGTACAAGCAGATAACCACTAGTCGCAGACCCTTCTGGCGAAGTATTTCGGCTATTTAGTTTGTCACTGAAGCAAAAATCCGCGGTGGTGCAGCTAAGCCGAATGGCAGACATATCATCTGAAGTAGACGACCCTGTTATCTGATCCCGAGAAACCTCATTGATAGATGATAATAGGCCTGGCTCAAATCCAGTTTGACATTCCAATCTGTTATAAAACTTAGGAACTCGTTGATGGTGTAAAAGGTGAAAACGACTGTTTCATGTACTTGTTCAATGCCTTGAGGTTGAAAATTGTTCGATTTTTTATTGGTCTTGGGAAGTATGAAAAGAGGAAATATGAAAGACGATGTCGGGGGTGCGGGTTCTAAAACTCTATTGAATTAAATTTTGGATTTTGATTGACATCAAGTTATTATTAATTTCAATATTACATTTGGTAGATCGAGTCCAGGTGTTTCGATATAGTCTTAGACATCCGCCTGAAAATGCTGTTGAGTAATTTATTTTTATTTCCTGATTTTCGTTCCACTTTGTACTTGTTCCCCCTCCCCCGTTTTTCTTGCTGAGGAATTATTTGGATAGCATCGCTCAGAATATCTGCTTTCGGCCTCTTTAGATGTATTGGAATGTGGCCTAGCTCGACATGGCTTTGCATTGGCAGTACAAGCCGATGGTTCCGGCGATGCGGGCCGGATGCGAGTAGCAGATGGTGCCGCTTTTGTAATTTATCAATACCACCAATTTTCTGTATATATGCCAATAATAAGTTGGGGTTAAACATATAATCACAAGAAGAAGATATTTTCTCTATATCTTTCCTGATATATCTATCCTTTAATTTCTTTATGAGGTGTCTACGATGCTATCGTATAACCTCGGCTCGCTTACCGAAAATTATTTGAAGGATATCGTTAGAAACTTTTATAGGCGAAATCGTTACCGAATAGCGGTTTAAACTTTTCGTAAATGGCGGAAGTATTAAGCTGAACATTCTCTGAATTTGACCCGTCGGCAAGGTTTTTTATGGCAGCATAACGCATTCGTTCTGTGCCAAAAGAGCATTAGATAACGCGAGAAAACTTTTTTTTTTTTTGAACCTCTGAATACTGCACCGCGTTCCAAGTCGGCTAGTCAAATCTTTGCATATCTGGTTCTTTTATAGAAATGCTCAAATTTCAAAACCTACTCGCTTCTGGTAACGGACGGTCTGGTGGCGGACGTAAAAACTATTCATCGTTGTCTAATTTCGATTGGAAGTTGAAACCAGATCAGACATTATTATTATCAGATGTTGGTATTTGTAAGTGTAAAGGCGGGACCACTGGTGCACGACCAGCAATAGCATGATTCGAAGTTAAAATATTATTCACATGACTCACCCATTATTGCGAAAGTAAGTCAAACCTTTTATTCAGATCTCGCGACCAGTCACTTTTTCGAAGTTTTCTTGCTGGTCCCTCGTCTTTATTTTCCGACGAACCCGAAGAAATATCCGAAGAAATCGAAGAACTATCCTCACTTAAATTTTACTTTGAAAAGGCGCGATAAGTAACGTACGTAAGTACATGAGTAACGAAAACGACTAGACATGTTATTGTAGTTCTAACCGATTTTATTTCTTATATGGTGTCAAGATTGTCTATACCAAGCCTTGAGTTACACTACCTTAATCAGTGAATCATAAGCTGTGAAACTGTGTAAAAATTATTGTTTAATATTGTGTTAAAACAGTGAATAAACCAAAAAATAATTTCAAAATTATATATTGATATAATAAAAAGAGGGTATGAAGAAGGTTTGAAGAACAAAAAATTGGATATTGAACTAACACAAAATTTAAACTTGAGTATATTCAATAAATTGGCATGCTAATTTGAAG